GTTCCCACAGATCGCCAGAATAAACTCGATTTTTGAGCAAGAATGACAGAACATATAATTCAGTCTGGAGCTACATGAAAAGATTTAACAGAATCAGGATTACAAAAAATTCCCACTGACCTTCTGATTTGCTATGAGTCCTATGTAGGCATCCAAGAATTCACGGCCTAGGACATTCGAAAGTTGAAAAATGCTCGCACGCAGTTGAGTAATTGAATGATTCTGCTGAAAGACACATCTTGTTGGGGTGCAAATATTGTATGTACAGTAAGGTGCATGGCAAGCGAGCTTGATTGTGAGAGTACTATTATGTGTAAGCGGGAGTTGATTCTGAAAGCAAATGGCAATCACAGAGTTTAGCAAAAGGTACTCGACTGATGCCAAGATTCGTGCGGATATTAAAGGGGATGGCCACAAAAGAACGATGGCCATCAGAAATGGCTGCTGCATCCGAAGTTCTGAATGAAGCCTTTGAAATAGTATTAGTAATGATGTGGATCACGTGCATCGCATATATTCAGCTGCAGTGACATGTCAGGCATTGAACGTTGGAACGTTGAATTTACAGCCTGAGGCTGCTGAGCGCTGTGCACCATGATGGCATAATGCATCAACATGTGAAACAATGCATATGGGTTGCTGGTGCTCTCAATTTGCAATCTATGGTTTCACGCGGTGATATCAATAAGTAGATGGCATTATGTAGATCCTAGTATAGAATGTAAACTAAGCTAATACCGAATACTGAGCAATAATGATCAGCAAGTCGACCTTCTCGCTTTTTCACTCCTCCCAAACAGATGTGGCGCTTCATCACTGACCTCACCCCGACTCGCTTGCATGTTTTGCATTGGCTAAACAAAATTTGGAACTCCCTGCTGGTAATACCATTTCCAACACAGGAATTGAGTCTGTTCAGTAATTCACTTTGTTCCTTGTAGGTCCACTCTAGCTGAATAGGCAAGACTCGCTGTTCTTCATCATCCATAATTTCAGACCCAGTACTGCAGCAAGGAAGGACGAGCGCTCATACCTCTTCGAGGATACTGGAAGGTGGATATAGTCGGCAGCCTGAAGTACGTGTTGATTTTTACTAGGCGAATGTTGACTCTTCAGTTGTGATCCTCTTGAATGTGAAGAATGCTAACCTCGATAACCACATTCATCAGATGCGCACCTTGCAGTCCAATCAAACTGCTCAGTGTCCTCATTCCACCACGAGTACACCGCACACTCTATGTACACACTCCTGCCACTACCATCAGCGCATAGACAGCATGGGTATTTCAATTTATATTCTTCGCGGTGGATCTCTAGGTTGAATGGCAAAATCTTCTTTCCATCACCGTCAATAGGCCTGTGTTTTTGTGGAGCAGCATCATAACTCAAAATTTGCATAGAATATGGGTATGTCTCACCACCACCATTCGACCATGGATTTTGAGGCGCTGTCATAGTGTAGGAGGGCAAAGCGGCAGGTCATAGCCTCTGCAATCAATTTAGCTAACCTCCAAGTGGTTTCGTGATAGTCAGGTGGGGCAGTGATGGTAGATGAAGGTGAAGATGGGGCTTCCATTGTATGGTCCGGTGGAGCAAATACGCGGTATCTACTCTGCTCTTATCAGACTGCGACATGTAGTAATATTATGATCTGCCCAGCTTATCTTGTCACCATGAAATGTCCCCACCTTTAGCCTGCTGCCAGAGGTTTTGGCCTGTGGGAATCTAGACTATGATGTGATCGCCATCGGGGCTGGCCATCACTAGTGCCCTCTATATTATGTTATGCTATCAAAGTCATCAGTCTTTCCACCTGTCCTTCAACATTGGACTCAACCGCATTCTTACACCTTCAGTTTCCCCTCATGGATTGTGCAGGTTCATTGCCGACTCCAACCCCTTTCAGATGCACCTGTACTCGTGAGTTCACGCAGGAGAGTGCCTATACAAAGCATCAAGGCTCTTGCACTAAGGGCAAGAAACGATTGTTCTCCGCTTTATCCAAAGCGAAGCATCTTCTAGGCTCTGCGAAATGGTCACGAGTTAACCACAACCTCGGTAGACAGATTCCTGGCCCTGGCACGGTGCCGTCGAGCGTGCAGGCCCACCTTCCAAAGGGCTCTTTCCCATCTGCTGACCTGCTGCAAGAAAATGCACACACATTATCATCAAACACCAATCTTGGTGCCTCACCTATTGAGATAGACACGGAACAAGGCTTGTCACTGGCGCAGCGGAGGAGTCGACACATCGACGTCTCATTGCCACTCCGTTATAGGCAATACGAGGATGTGCTTCCACAAGCTCCCCCAAGCCTTCCCTCCGGATATACTGCTCTAGCACCAGAGCCTGACGCACCAGCCAATCCAACGGACGCATCTACCAGTGCTTGTGCATCTACCAGTGCTTGTGCATCTTCGCAAGTTCCCCCTTTCCATACTGCTAGAAATGTATTCGGGCTGATACGCCAGTTCTTTTCATCCACCCCCCCCTTCTCACGATCCAGAAGAAGCTGTAACACTCCAAGATATTAGTTCCGTCCCGACTATAGCCTCAACTGAGCCAGATGCCCTCGCAGAGCCTAACGACATTTCGTTTTCCCCTTACCCCAATTGATCCTCCTTTGAGCTGGGCCATTGGTACTGGCATGGAGGCACACAGAAGTCCCGGCAGAGTTTCAAGGAACATATTGATATCGTCGGCGATCCGGATTTTGATCCTGATGACGTCCAGAGTACGCCATGGAGCAGAATTGACTCACAGCTAGGTGCAAGTGTTTACGATGGCGAGGAGGAGGAATGGGAGGATGAGGATGCCGGTTAGCACAAAACGCAAGTCAGCATCGAAGTACCTTTTTCCCGAACTCCAGCTCAGCCAGGCCCTCGACCTTACATCGCAGCTGAACTTTACCATCGATCTCTCACCTCCATCATCCGAGAAAAGCTTGCAAATGCTCAGGATGATGAGCTTTTCCATTATGAACCCTACCAACTGCGATGGAGTGCTCCCCATCTTCCCCACAAAGTCGACATTCAAGGCGAACTTTACACCTCACCAGCCTTTATGGACACCCACCATGATCTCCTTGAGTCTCCTGGAGAGCCGGGGTGTGATTTACCCCACGTAGTCGTCGCATTGATGTTTTGGTCAGATGCCACGCAACTGACAGCATTTGGTAACACGAAGCTGTGGCCAGTGTATATGTATTTTGGAAATGAATCCAAATACTGCCGCTGTCGGCCATCCTGCCATTTGGGGAACCATATTGCATATTTTCAAAAGGTACGATGTCCTCCTGAATTAATTTCCTTCTCGTGGAAGCTCACACCTTGGCAGCTTCCGGACACATTTAAAGATTTTGTGGGGACTTATACCAATGGCAAGGGGATTGGCCGTGAATGTACAATGCATTGCCAGCATGAACTGTTTCAAGCTCAATGGAATATCTTACTCAATGAAGAGTTTTTGGAGGTGTATGAGCATGGGATGGTAATTCTCTGCTGTGACGGAATCAAACGCAGGTTTTACCCGTGAGTCTTTACCTACTCTGTGGATTACCCTGAAAAGTGAGTCATGATCATTATCCATAAGACATCTAAGCAGACCAAACCAGGGTCCTTGTTGCAACCATTCGGCAGCTAGGAGGCTGTCCTTGCCCGCGTTGTCTCATACCAACTGCATGGCTTCAAAATCTGGGGATGAGCCGTGATCGGCAACAACGTTTAACACTGGTGCGGTCCAACATCTCGAGGAGTCAGCCCATTGCTACTGCACGCAACCTTATTTATGAGAAAAATTACGGTGTTGACAGTACGGCAGTCGAGGCGCTTCTCAAACCTGATTCCTGGGTGCCGAATTCAGTGAGCATAGTCGTCAGTCTCTTTCATTGCCTGAACTAATATGTGATAAGAATGTGCTGTCCGACAATCTTAGTGCATTCGGATTCAATGTGTTTGCAGCACTTGTCGTCGATCTCCTACATGAGTTTGAGCTTGGGATATGGCGCATGCTTCTAATTCATCTACTGAGAATTCTGACTGCATTGAACAAGGACTTGGTGCACGAACTTGATAGGAGGTGCCGAATGTGTTTTGATGACGCCTGGGTTACTCATGTCCATCTTTGACAGGTACAGGCAGGTTCCCCCGTTTGGTCCTGCAACCATTAGGCGGTTCTCTGCCAACACCTCTGAAATGTCGAACATGGCAGCAGCATGCAACTTTGAGGATCTTTTACAGGTACGCCTTAAAGACAATTCTCATGTGTCCGTGGACTGACTTTGTACAAGTGTTCTATTCCAGTCTTCGAAGGTCTCCTCCCTGAGGCCCACAACAAAATTCTTCTTGATCTCCTTTTCACTATGGCGCATTGGCATGGTCTCGCTAAACTGTGTATGCATTCTGACTTTACCTTAGAGATTCTCGACCAGCAAACCACTGACCTCGGTGAGAAATTCCGTCACTTCAAGTCAAAGGTATGCACTGCATACCACACACAAGAACTTGACCACGAGGTCAATGCGAGGTCTCGTCAGCAGGCAAAGGACGTCACTAGACGCATGGAGGACAGCATAGCGAATGGCGTTGGGCAAGGGACTGCGGCTCAAAAGAGGGCGGGGGGTAATGCTAAAGGGAAACATAAGCCAAATTTGGAATGGTCGCAGGATCCACGTTCACCAAGGCAATCGAGGAGGAAGAAGTTGCTAAATTTTCGGACGTACAAATTTCATGCGCTAGGCGATTATGTTGCTTCCATTCGTCAATTTGGTACAACAGACTCGTATAGTACAGAGCCAGTAAGTTATGATTTGCTCCCTGTCTGCTCCCCTGCTCAGTTGCTATTAGGGAGAGCTAGAGCACCGAACGCCAAAAGGCAGATATCGCCAAACTGATCACAGAAACTTCATACACCAGCTAACTCAAATAGAATGCCGTCAAATTCGCTTACGGCATATCAAACAATGGCAAACAACACGGACCCCTCACACGCAGGCTGACGAAACTGTGATCGACCCTCAGCTACACCATCATATTGGACTAAGTGAGAAGAATTTCGACGAGTTGGGAAATTATCTCCGCAGTCATGCAGGGGATCCTGCCATGAAGGTAACTTTCGGGGGCTTAATCATTGTCGTTCTAACATATGACTCAGGACTTCCTTCCACGATTGAAAGATCATATCCTGGACCGCATGGGGACTCTTGAATCTGTGGAAAACTCTGCCCATCCCGACCAGGAACACAGTTCAATTCTCTTCAAGCACAACAGGATCTACCACCACAACCTCGTCAGGTTTAATTATACAATGTACGACATTCAAAGGGCTCAAGACGTGATAAACCCCAGGACCCCCCATTGTAACATCATGCTGCTACAGCATGATGATGGGGCCCATGACAAATATCGTTATGCGAGGGTTCTCGGTATCCACCATATCAATGCTGTGCACTCAAGTAACGTGTATGAGTCCTGCCGAATAAACTTTCTATTCATCCGGTGGTATGAACTTATACAAAACCATTCATGGGAAACACATGCTTTGGGACGAGTTCACTTCCTACCTTTGACAAATCCAAACACTTTTGGCTTTGTGGATCCAGGAGCGGTTCTGAGGGCCTGCCATATAATTCCGGTTTTTTCGTGAGGCCGGCGCAATTTGAACTGTGGGGTTTCTCCCCTTTCTGGAGATAAACATGACTGGCTAGAATACTACGTTAACAGGTGAGCAATCCTATCCATACGGGTCATATCTATATCATCATCATAACTCTACCAGCTTCGCTGATCGTGACACACTCATGAGGTTCCATTATGGCCTCAGGGTAGGCCATGTATACTCACATAGGGTAGGGATCTTAGACGGCCATAGCTTGGCACGGCAACCTGCCTCTCAGACAACTCCCTATATGGAAGATGAAGATTTTGAAGGCGAAGAAAACTTCACGGAAATAGCCCATCCAAGCGACGACGAACAGGATGAGCACGACGAAGAGGGTCATGACATTGGCATCAAGGAATTGAATTTCTTTGAACAAGGAAGAAACACAAGCACGGAGTCCCTCGCGGAGGCACTAGACGATATGTTCATGAGCCATGCTTTTGATTATGAAAATTGATATTGTATTACAGCAATAGAATCCTAGTAATTCTTTGGGCACAACTCCATGGTTTAGAATGTCTAATACATAATATGGCCGGAAATTATTGATGGCCATCGATTGAATCAAGATCGCCAGCAATTATTGATGGCCATCAGTCAGGGATCAGCAGCCAGCACAAATGGCCACCAACTAGCGATAATGAGAAGTAATGTCCGCCAGATCAGTAGCAAGTGGTTGTATCATCTCTGACGTTTGACGTTTGCTAATGTCTGGCAGGCTTTGCTACTTTATAACCAGCCTTTATTAATATTGTTTGTTGCCATCAATTCCCTCCCTACCTACCCCATCCTGGTACTCGCAGGCCAATCAATGTCTCCAGTATGGTTATACGTACCCGCTGTGGGTGAAATTCTTCAGCTTGTTCAGCTTGCTGTAAGTACAAGACTTTGTACAGTGGATCCGCTGATGTGACGACCTTCTCCTCTAGCATGAGGAGGTTTGTCACCGTCCGTCAACCATGGTTTTGTTTTACCTTTTTTTTCCCTCAGCATCCGTTTGTCTCCATTACTACAGGATCGTATGTTGTCGTAGGGTACCTCGCTAATAACAACCAAGTATCACCTATCTACGTGAGTTTTCCTTCTTGAATGCAAAGATTTAATCTCACTGTATTTATTTGTAGTGCGAAAGATCCTTCCAGGAGGCCCAGCCTTGGACTGGTCGGCTTACGCAACTTGGGTGGCTGATTGCCCCTGGCGAGAGGGATACTACCCACCTTCATGAGTTATTCACAGCGACAGTGAGCTGTTTGCCGTATCAAATATTCCGTCTTTGAAACAATAGATCTAGCTAACTGGCGGCGCTTATATCAGTGCGATAACCCCTACATGCTGTAGGGCTAACGCCAGAGGTATCCCAATGCCTACTTGGCTCGTGAGTGTTGTGCTCAAGTCCTCGTGCACGTCCTTCACTGATACATTTATAGCTCCAAGAGCTGTTGAACGCTTCAGTTCAATTCTCTTATGCTCCGTTTCCGGATGGGTATCCACCTCCCATTGTCACCCCAGTACAACAACTCATGTACGAGGCGCCATCTCCCGCCAATTCAAGTGCTTTCGATAACACGCTCGAAGATGTCCTCCTGGCTCCTGCTTCTTTTGACCTCACACCCACGGAGTTTCAAGAGCTCGATTGTGGCTATAACTACTGGAAATTGTCCACCGTTACCTCTCTCAGCGGTATCGACGATACAGCTCTGCCCTTTTTGGATAAAGTGAATGGATTAGACGAAGTAGATGGGGTTCTCACCAAGGAGCCAGCCCTCGAGGTTTTTCATCCTGACTTGCAATGGAGAAAGTCTAAGGGTGGTGTGTGGGACACCTTGAACAGAAAGCAACGAGAGAGCCTCACCCGCTCAATGAAGAAGACATTTTGGTGGCGGGTCATGATGCTCACTAGGGCCCTGTTTGTTGGAGGTCTGTGGGTAGGAGAGCACCAAAACCCATTTACGATTCGTCAGGTGGAAGTACGACACCGGGTGACCAATAGCTTTCTCACCGCACTTAACCTAACCTACACGACTTACGAGGATATGCTGGAGCAACCAGGTCAGTGCCTTGCATCCTAGATGCTACCTGACACTATTTTACGGTTTCATCAGTGATCATCACATTTACCAACGGAGTAACTGTTTCTGCTGGATGGCTGGAGTTCCGTAGGAATGTACGCCCTCTCTTTCCTTCACTTTCCCCTTACTGATGCGAGCAGCTGGCCAAGGCATTTGACGAATCAAAGGGGGAACTAAGGAAGGTTATCAAAGGTGCAATGTCACCATACACCAACTTTTGTGCCTCTTTCAATACAGTAGAGATGAGGATCAATTACCTCATGGATCTTTTCAACTTGAACAACATCAACGACGTACAGGACTTGAAACCGCAGTTGAGGCACTAGCTCAATTTTTTTTTCATTTTTCAGGTGCGCCAGGCGATTTCCGAGCTCATTGGAGAACATGTTTTTTCAGAGCTCCTTTGGGTGTCACTCTTTCACCCAACCAGCAAGTTGGCGGATGGAAAACGCAGTGCGAGGCTAGCAGATTTCTTTCCCGAAGAAATCTTTTCAGATTTCAACTGTCTGGCCCAGAAACCGGTGGGCAATTTGATGACATTGGTAAGTTTGTATTCCCTTCGCGTTTTCTCCTCGAAAACTGATGCTACATTGGTATTTCAGCTCTACCAGTCGATGGTCCTCACCTTGAAAGAAAGATCCGCACTTGTGGGCGACTGTCATGGACCAGAAGAAATGAACGAGATCATCATGTCAGCCATAAACGATATGTACGCCTATCCAGACAGGTTTCCGATATTCACGGGAAGAGTGAAAGCTCTCCCTTTCATAAAGTGCGTGTTTAGTGTGGCTGTTTCAGTATATTGATCATGCTCTACATTTAGGGGGAGCAATGTCCTGCCTATCGCTCCCAAGACAGGTCTTCCAAGAACCACGACAGAGGAGACAGGGGAAAGATTGAGGAATATGACAGACATCTTGCCCATTGAAACCCAGCCAATCGGTGATTTGTGCATTGTCATTCCAAACAGTAGGGGCTTTGGTTCCACCAAGTCTCTGAGACTTGTCTCGGATGTACCCGCTTCATACTTCTCGACTCTCCCAGTCGCGTAGTCACAGTATTGCTAATCGGATGTTCACTGGTCCCCTTCTCGGTTCTTAAATTTGTACTACAAATACCATGAGTCTTACCGTCACCAATCTCTATGAATGTTTGGCAGCCGAGAGATCTCTGAGTAAAGCTTCAATGACTGTGTAAAGTTGGACATGGAAGTTCGGAATGCAGGAACGAGTACATGAATCCCCCAGCTATAACTTATGTGATCACCGATTAGGGGTACCGAAGGTTACCGGAATACCCATCGATCGGAAGAATCCGGAATTGTTCGAATGAGTCAGTCAAGCTCAAGTTGGAGCAAAACCTTGGATATCATCTTCTTTTGGTTCATCTTATATAAAACCCAAGGAACAAATTTGCTATCTTCTTGCTCATTAGTTGTGTGTTCAGCAGCACTACATACTTTGTAAGCAGTCTTTTGCATTCTGTCATAATCTGGTGCTTACTGATTCAAGTTCAGTTTGGGATGGTGTTATAGTTCGACTGATGCGCAAGGTCTCAGCCTTCCACATAACACACAATCAATGTAAGTTCCAAGTAGAGTCTTAAATGCTCACCAAAATAACTGACTACCAAGGGTCCTCATCTGAAGGAGCTTTAGCATTCCCCCATACCCTTTGGAATGGGGTGGCAATTCTATAGTTTTCCAGAAGAAAACTTCACGGCTGAGTACTTTGTTCTCCTGTGGAGTTGTGTCCAGTGTGTTTACTCTCACGTTCAAGGGAACAGCAGGAGCATTGTGTTTTCCAAGAGTCACTCAAGTTTGTAGCAGACCTGGAGAAGCTCTTCATGCAGGGTGGAGATAATGAGGTTGATGCCGTTGCAGAGCTGGCAAGTACCATCACGCTCTCCTACCTCTTTAAAGTTAACTATTTACATCAGCTCATCGTCATTTTACTCATGAACCAGTCATGCATAATTGAGATCTTGGATGTGTATACATCCTACTTGTTCTTCCAAGTGCAAATCATTTTTTCCTCACTCAATTTTATCTTGTGACCGTTCACAGAATAACATCCTACACATGAAAGCTGCCAATCTTCTCATCGACAACAGTGGCTTGCTCCCGATAGCAGCTTTTAGAATTTTCAGTCTAGCGCACGGGTATGATTTGAACGTCATCTATGCAGTCATGGATCAGCGTGGGAAAGACAAAAAGTAAGGATTCTTTTATTTTATTTTATATCTGATTTTATTCGGTTTTATTGGACCTTTTATTTTTTTGATCTACCTGATTTGTGCGTATTGCCTACAATGATGCTAACTTCTTAATCGCAGTATTTGCAGCAGGGGCTGCTGCTTCTCTCTGAGTCACAAGCCTTGACAGCACACTCATCAGGTTGACTTCATAGGACTCACCCGCAAGGCACCAAACCAACATCAATGAACTGTTGTCCTGTCCATTGTCCCCTTCTTCTTGGACAGTGATGGATCTTCTATTCACGCTAAGTGGAGGCTGATCAAGTAAGTATCGCTACTAGCCACAGACTGGCATTGAGCGTCGCCCCAGAGAAGCTTGTCATCCAAATATTGTGCCTTACGTTGGCCTGTCGCGTGCTGCGCTTCTAGATGGACAAATATCCATAATGTCAGGGTACATTGAGAATGGTGCGTCTGGTTTGAGAACTTCATTTCATGCTTCTCTTGATGCTATTCATTCAAGAAATCTGAGAATGTACATATTCGACATATTCAATAAGACGAAACCTTTTCTGTCTCCAGCTTTCTTTTGCCACAGATGAAATGTGTGCTCTTGCATACCTGAGGTATGTTACAATTTGTGCACTATTCACGCACTAGTTTGACAAACTTGAAGGAGAGTATTGGTGAATGTTCTAATCCCTCAGATGAAGAGCGGATTCGTCAAAATTGAGTGCAATGCCGTACAGCGGTACCAAACCCTAGCTCGCAGTAATCCTCTGTACATTCGAGCAGGTGCTGTTAACGCATGCATTGTAACACATCTTGAATCACTGCCTGCTTGTGGTTCTCCAAAAATTTTAATCTTATCACTCACATACAGCTCCGTAACTTCCGATTCGCAGGAAGCCACGAATGCACCATTTTCCAGGCATATGGCTTCAACCTCGTCTCGCTCACAAACTCATTCGTTGGATTCTTTGGATGGTTGGTCAGCAGAGGAAGCTACGCCGGCACGTGATGTTTTCTGTGTCCATTTTGAAGTCACTGTCCATGGACTAGGAGTCTTAGTCGTCTGGGTGTCTCAGATGTATGTCAGGGCGATCGAGACACGTGTACTTCTGAGGGATAGCAGATAATGATGCCCTTCGTTGTGCAAATGGTGTGGGGCATACTGTAGTAGCATGCCTACCAATCCCATCGGCACGTGCTTAACAAGGACAGGAGAAAAGGCAGTGTCGTGGATCTCGCTCATCACTGATGAGGATGGGGATGGCAGTGGTAAGGAGAATATGACCTCATTTAGATTCCTTGCATTGGGCGAGACTCCGCGCAGTGGACGTTCTGCTCCTATATTGCCATGGATGTTGGGTCGAGAGATTTCAACATAAGTGCTGGGCAAGCACTATCTCCTCGTTGCCTGCATTGCGCAGTGCTCACAACTCTCACACCTCGGAGCTTTCAAATTTTTTTATTCCGGCCCTCCACCTTACGAAGTGGCTTGAGGCATCAATGACCTAGAAATATCAAAGCGCTCAGCGCTGAGCTCGCCCAGGCCAGAGATTGCTCAAGGATACGTGAGGTAGTGGTCGACCAGCGGGAATATTATCTTGCTCGTGCGGTAGTGGGTAGAGCTGTGTGAGAACTTCTAGGAGACATTTGATTCATGGGTCCAATGCACCATCTACCCTGCACCCCATGTGATGCTGTCCGTCTCCTTCTCCTCATAAGCAAATTTCATACCCTCCAAAACTCTCCCTCTCAATAACTTCTTCACCGGCCAGCAAAATTTCACATAGGCTGTGTCTAGAGTGTCGACCATCAGCTCTGCCACAGAAGATATGACCACGGAGGTTGTTAGTCCATTACGTGTGTGTCGTTTGGGATGAACTGCTGAAGGATCTCTTGTGGTTTGAACCTTCTGTTTCCCCAATCTTTGTGCTCGCAGTCGGGCTGAAGGGTTAGGCAAGCGAAAACAGCTGTGGCCGTTCTTGTGCCCGATTTGTACATCTTTGTACGATCCTCCGACAAATTCAACGCCTGGACAAGCTGATCCTGCTGCAGGTATTCCGCGTCCAAGGACGACAAGAACCTGAAATCCCAAGCGATGTTGAAGCATCGAACGCAAACCCTGCTTCAAATGTGCCATCTCGCCTTGATCTGTTTGCTGCACTACCAGCCTCTTCAGAAACTGCACAGTCCCGCTCACGGTCTCACCGATAGCAAGGTGGGCGCCTGTGGCGAACTCAACTTTGCGGTCATCCGTGATATGGTACAAGGTATGTTATTACAAGATTGACGGCCTCTCTCCATGCAATCCTAACTTCCAATCCCCAACAGCTTCTTCACTTCAGTGAGCTCCCGCCACGCGTTTTCCAGGTATCTCATTGTCTCCTGCAACTCTTCTTCCCTCCTCAACGCCATCAGCATTACCCAGCACTTGTCCTCGATGGTTATCGGAAAGGGAGCAGGCGGTGCAGGAGTATGACTTTGGATTCGGTATTGGGCCGTTTCAACTGCGTTGTTCCACACTCCCTGCAACCGTTTAGTTTCATCAATGTAATGTACCTATAACATACCACCACTGAACCGCTGACAATCAGCGGGCCTGGGACATCTGGTTGGAACGCGGGCACCTGATTATAGTATAGTTAATTAACATGTACAACTCGAGGATACAATAACTTACGAGTGAGTTGAGTGAGTCATTATTGTTGATCTGAGCGTTGTTGATCTGAGCATTGGCAGATTCCATGATGTAGTAGGCAAAGTAGATGGCAGAGTACTGATTGATAGCGCACGCTAGTGAGTAAATGTCACACATCCATCCATAACAGGCAGTAGGATTGTGTCGGAATTTTCAATTTTCAATCTTCAATTTGGCCATCTACGCTCACACCAGTCTGACGTACGTTATGTTATACTTTTCATCTTTCAAGCACTAAGTTGACCTTGCAGACCAACGTTACAATCCTTAATGAGTTGTCAAAATATCACGACGAGGCTACAGGCAAAATTGCTCTCGACGATTTCAAATTTTTTTATATTGCGCCCATGAAGGCTCTTGTTCAATAAATGGTTGGAAACTTCAACGCGCGGCTGAACATTTTCGGAATCAAGGTTAGCGAACTCACAGGAGACACTCAAATGACAAAACAGCAGATCTTGGAGACCCAGATTATTGTTATCACACCCGAGAAGTGGGATGTCATCACGCCAAGAGCACCGACACGAGTTATACAAATCTCATTCGGTCATGATTATTGATGAAATTCACCTGCTGCACGATGAGCGTGGACCCGTGCTTGAGAGCGTCGTGGCACGTACAATACGGAGGATGGAGCAAACAGGAGAGTACGTTCGCCCAGTTGGTCTCTCAGCTACACTTCCAAACTACCAAGATGTTGCAACCCTCCTCCACATGGATGAATTGAAAGGTCTATTCTATTTTGATGCCTCATACCGTCTATGTGCGCTTTGGTAGCAATTCATTGGTGTCACAGAGAAGAAGGTTATCAAACGTTTCCAGGTCGTGAATGAGGTTTGCTACAAGAAGGTACTTGACCAAGCGGGCAGAAATCAGACCCTTGTCTTCATGCACTCTCGCAAGGAGACCCAAGTCCGCCAAGTTTCGTTTTGACTCAGCGACGCATGAGATCCTCACGGAGGAAGCAGGCAACATCAAAGATAGCAATCTGCACAACCTCTTGCCGTTTGGGTTCGCTATTCACCACGCCAGTATGACTAGAGAAGACAGGGAGCTTTTCGCAGATGGTGCAGTCCAGGTTCTTGTCTGCACAGCAACACTCGCATGGGGTGTGTGCCGGGAGTCAAGGGCACGCAGATCTATAACCTGGAGAAAGGCCGCTGGGTTGAGCTCTCTTCCCAGGATGTGTTGCAGATGCTTGCTCGTGCTGGTCGTCCGCAATATGATATGCATGGCGAGGGCATCATCATCACGAACCATGCTGAGCTGCAGTACTACCTCAGCTTGCTGAACCAGCAACTGCCAATTGAGTCTTTGTTTGTGTCAAAGCTTGTGGACAACTTGAACGCAGAGATTTTCTTGGAACAGTTTGCAACCGTAATGAGGCCGTCCAGTGGTTGGGGTACACTTATCTGTAGGCTCACTTGTTCTCAAAGCGGCAAAAGTGCTGACATTTCCCACAGTTATGTCCGCATGCTGAAGTCCCTAGGACTGTATAGTGTTGGCGTGGATTACCAGGAGGACGACAATGGTCTTATCCAGAACCATTCTGACATTGCCCATTCTGCCGCCGTTCTGCTGGAGAAATGTCATCTCATCAAGTATGAACGTGCATCTGGTCGTTTCCAGAGCACCGAGCTTGGTCATATTGCATCTCACTACTATGTTACATACAATTCAATGGCTATGTACAACCGGCATCTTAGGCCAACCATGTCGACACTGGAACTCTTCCGGGTGTTTGCGCTCTCGAATGAGTTCAAACTTCTGCCGGTATGTCACATATTTTCTGTTTGTAATACAAGTCTCGACATTCATATTCATTTTTGTAGGTGCATCAAGAGGAGAAGCTTGAGCTTGGTAAATTGTGCCTATTCCTGTGATGGAAGGCATCGATGAACCTGCAGCGATCAACGTCCTCCTGCAAGCATATATATCGCAACTCAGACTTCACGGTTGGTAACGATTCAGCCGTCTACCATATTGTGCTGATGGGATGATTAGGCTTTGCTCTTGTGGCTGATATGGTCTTTGTTTAGTGATCTGCTAGCCGGTATGTGTTGTTTTAAGTCAGTTTACCCAAGCTCACACATGTTACAGTATTCTTTGTGCTATGTTTGAGATTTGCCTGAAGCAAGGGTGGGCAGTGCCAGCGCGTGCATGTCTTGACTTATGTAAGATGGTTGAGCGACGAATGTTGGTAGTTTTTAATAAGGTCGTTGATCATCAACTGATTGTTTGGTTTTCAGGTGGGGCTCCATGACACCGCTTTGCCAATTCAAGTTCCACAGGAGGTCATCCGAAAAGCAGAAGGCAAACAATTCGTAAGTTTAAGTGAGGCACGTGCTAAGATAAGGTTCATTAGCCATGGTATCGCTACTTGATCTAGACCCTCCTGAAATTGGCAAGCTTATCGGCCTTCCAAACGCCGGGAGGCTTGTGCATTGCTTGGTGCACAGCTTCCCCGAGCAGCAGCTGCAAGCGCAAGTGCAGCCTATCACCTGCTCTCTTCTTCATATCAACTTGTCTATTGTTCCTGACTCCCGATGGGATGAGAAGACCTACAGAACAGCTGAAATGTTCCTCATCATAGTTGAAGATGTCGATGGAGAGATTGTTCTTTTTCACGACTCATTCGTATCTAGGACCTGCTGCGTCGCTGTGCAGACAGAGGTTAAGACTCGCATCGTCGCCTGTGGTGTCTCGTCATATAATCGTAGTGATGATAATTTGGTCTGATTCTGTCAATGTTGTCTACAAAATTTTAAGCATGTTCTCCCCAATTTCCTGGTGTGCTGCCAATATACACTTGAGTTATAATGACCATGGCACTATGGGTAACGGATGATCATTTAGTAAAAAACTCCCAGCAGTTGACAAGGCATTACCTGGATGGTGACCTGGACATATCACAACTTCCAGTAATGACTATTTTGTGTCAATATTACAAGAATTTTGCATCTTTTGATTGCCAACTAGGTAACATTGCAAACAACCATCACAACACGAATTTAATGCAGCAGGTGACCATTTTATGGAGTGATGCCGAACTTCTCTCAATAATTTATCTACAAAGTATCATATTTGCAAGACACATCTATATTAGAGTTTTCTTACAATCACTTGTCATCCAGTGCCATTGTGGTGGTGCTTATATAATACTATGTATTTGGATATAATATGTCGATATTTGATTTGATTTTGCCAGAAATATCAATTAAAATCATCTCATGGCCGATTTCCTGATGACAGCCTGAGCACATACTAGTAGTCACATCTAGTACTCAACTAGTACGCATTGGTTATACTAGTCAAGCTTACCGTGACTATGAGCATTCATTGGAGATCCGATATAGTACTGACTTGATGCGATCTGACAGGTCATGGCCATCGAGTAGTATGGTTGTTCAAGTTGTACTGCAATCACCGTCAAGCTGTCATTACCAGTCAATGCATGTGAGCATACTATTGAATATGTATGTCCTAAACCATTGAAGATCACACAGTAGTACTAGTATGCTGATAAGATTTGACAGGTCTCACTGTCGTTCAAGGACCATACTAATCGCCATCAAGCCATAATAGGTTCTGGCCCTGCCATTTGTATGGCCAAGTAATAGACTAATAGTATTTATTGCTTTGTAAGTTCAAGTTTTATATTACTTCACCTCAACCATCGTCCAAGTCGCCCTTCATCAATCGCAGATATAGAATGATCCCTTCTCGCTATGCTACTTTTGAGGCAAGGTTTCATGCTATACGCGAGGAAAACAGGAGATATTATGCTAGGTGAGTTCTCAAAGAATTGTTCCTAGTATTTCTAGTCGATAATTGTCTTGGTTTCAATACTATCAGGCACAGGGAAGCTATCAATACTCAGAGGCATCAGCCTTGTACAACGAAGAACAGACGCCGAAGGATCAAGGAACGTGACAATTCACCAATGAGCGACCTCCCGCTCATCACACGAGTCGCAAAACTTTTTGAGCCGCACGACTCTGACGAAGATAAAGAGACAGATGAAGTAGATGAGCCGTAAGTGTTTTCCACTTGTATTCTTCACTCTTACAAAAATATTCTCAGCCAAACACTTGGGGAATGTATCGCCATCTTGAAGGAAACGAAAGACACATTTGTCTCGCTCATCAAATCACCTACCGAGTTCGTACAAGGCACGTTGAAGAAGTTTCTCGACACTGTACCTGATGCTGCTGCAGATACACGTACAGTTCAAAAAGGTGATGTCACAGTAATTCAAGATGCTATCGATTCTATCCAGGATCTACACCGCGAGGCTCATCGAGGGCAGGATATTGTTACAAGTAACATCGGTCACGTGGCCCCCCTATCATTTTCCCTTCATCCTCGCCCTCACCATCTACCGGCTTGTCCTCCTTTACCGACTTTCCGTTGACCAGATCCTCAGGACCATTCCCATCCCTCGCATTGCCCGCCTCTATGCACGTGCACGCATGTTCCTCTCCTGATTCGACCACCAATGTAGTCCCGCACCTATGACTCGGTCTGACTCGTGCCACCAATGTGGCTTTCCTCTTTCTGTTCCTTCTGACTGCAGATTCCCGCACGTTGTATTCTTACCGTTGGTCTGTTCCAACGTTTCTTGGTCTCATTCCACATTCGACCACCCATCACTAATCCGGCTCTGTTGCCAACGCACCTATACCATTCTCGTTTCCCCTTTACCCTTACCTACTGTGCGGTAGCCTTGCCCTTAACCCTCTCCACTTAGTATAAGTAGTCGGTCACCCTGTACTAGATTCCCTAACTTGAATCTACTCAATCTTCCCTGGAACATACTTCTCTCTGAATGCCCCTTTGGCTTCAGTCTCTAGTATCTTTTCTTAGTTGCTCATCGCGACTAAGTCTACCTCGATCGACCTCATCGTTCGGACAAGACTGTCCTAACCTTGAGCGACTTCAAAGACATCTGTCTTAGAAGTCACGTGACATGCGCGTACTGTGATCACTGCCGACGCCGTCGCCAGTCTCACTTGCTATACCGGATCCTTCCGGTTACGTCACAAATGTTAGCGGACGACGCCCCTCTTAGGGCTCCGCCTAACAGATCTATTTGAGTGCGTAACAGATATGATCCTGCAGATGTGTGGTATCTGCGATGAGTGGGAAGCAGGTGACACAATCTGTCAGGCCATGAGGTTGGTGGTAGCCCTACTGGATGACATCTTGGATCACGCTAGTATGTCAGGGGTTACAGATATTGCGATAGCTTACGAGTTGGGCGAGTTGATGTATCAGCGAAGTGACTATTAGGGGATCGTTTGACTAGTTACACTGCCGCATGTTCTATGATAATAAATCTAACAAAATTCGTGACATAAACACGCAAGTGCAATCTGTTAATTTGAAAAAAAATGTACATTATATAACTCAGCACATAAGTCAGGGTGCAGATCTATTGGGATTAGAGCGAGCTTTAGCAATGCTATGCACTTCAATGACGATTATGACTATTACGACTATTAGATTTGATACGCTTCGACAAATGCGGACTTCTTGGTTCTGGTGCCAAACGTTTCTTCACCGAGCTGGAGAAGTATGTCAATTGAATTGACTTTATCAGAACACACTAGCTTACCTGGAAGCAGCTGGGCAGCGAAATTCCATAATATGTTCCATCACCCATTTTACATCATCTATGGCTGCATGCCAAAGGGGGTCGTTGCATCCAGTACTGTTAGCACAACCCCACCATTTTAGCGCAGCCAATACACTCCAGAAGCCGTTTTTCCCTGGTTTGTCGAGAGGACTCCAATCATTATTGTTATGGCGAGGGGCTTCAAAGGATGCGGATGGCGACATACTTCGCCACGCGGGCTGAATCGCACACCACCAACTCCAGAATGTCATACTGAAGTTCTCGGGGATAAGTGGCTGGCCAGTACGCGCACAGGAAATCCACCAGTGAATTGCAGGTGGGCGATCTTTGCTACTGAGAGAGGTAGAGCCCTTCCCAGATGAGAATCCAGAAGACTTCTCAAGCTCTAAAAAAGTCGTAAGTAGATTGATATATGGAGAGGGAAGTTGTGGGGCGGTGAGATATTTGATCGCTTCCCGAATCCAGGCAGGGCAATCGGTGGGAAGCACTGATATATGACTTAAATTATATTCAGACTTGGAGCACAGCAAACTCACCAATATCATCATTCTGACTGTCCTGAGCGAGTGAACAGATGGTGTTGTCTACAGGTGGGGATAGAGGAGGCTCAACAATTTGTGTAGCGTCAAGAGGCTCTGAAGGGCATGTGGGAGCGGGCTGTGAACTTGCTATTTCAGGAAGGGGTGCAGAATTCGAAGGCAGTGCCGATCTACTGCGTTCCTCCCCAACCAAAATTCCTATTTCAGAAGGGGGTGCAGGTGTGTCTGCAGGCTGTGAACTTGTTAGTTCAGGAACGTGTTCAGAATTTGAGGGCACTGGAGAACCACTGGATTCGTCCCCAGCCGGAACGAGAGTGTTGGAAGAAACATAAGGCCTAAAACTATAATCAGAAGGGGCCTTCTTGTTTGTGATAGGGTCGCCAGTTTGACGGTTGATGTAGGTGAGGCGGGGTGCCAAGTAGGGGAGGTGAGAACGGCGATACTCCCATGTCCTGTTGGCTGTAGATTGATCGTCATCGTCATTGTCTCGATCCGATCCATCTGGAGAGTCTGTATCAGTAGTTATTTCAATGTCGTCGTCATCAGCTGCCAATTGTTTGTGGTGTTTTCTCTTGGCAGGCTGTTTGACTGCCTTTCCTTTCTCCTTGGCTGTGGCCTTCTGCATAGTCAATGTCGCTTCTACCATGTCGGTGTCAGAGTTGGGATGTGCCTGGGGGACCGCTGGGATCTGCCATATCATCGGCGGGGACATCTGGAAGCTTCCAATCAGAGCGACTCTCTTGAGCTACAACACGCCATTTAGATCACGTAATGGTAACGTAGAGGTCACTTACTGTAGCAGGTATTGAGATATTCCTGAAACAGCTTGGTGACAGTCTTGAAATTTTTCCTGTCAGCCATTTGCCAATTCTGAGGCTGTGGGCGAAGGTCAACGCCCTCGTGCATGCTTACAAAACATGTTGAGAATGAGTCGAGGGATAATTATACATGACTCACCTGATTATGCTAATCTTGCCTTGCTTGCGCAGTTCGGGTCCGCCAACCATCAGGGTGACGTGCATGCCCAGCACAAGTGAAATTCCACTCAGCATGGGTCCTGCAAATGACGCAAGTCTATCTAGTGCACTGGAAAAAATTAGCACGCCATTTTTGATTATAAAATTATGTTGATACGTACGCTTGGCGAGAAACTGGGTCAGTAGGAGGAGGATTTTCTAACATGGCCTTCCATTCCTTGGTCGCCTCTTTACCTTCTGTTTTAGCGAGTTCTTCATATTGTTTGATAATCAAAGGGTCTTGCTCCTCAAAAATAGTCCGTGTAACATGGTCATGGAACGAGGCTTTCTCTTTCGGAGGACAAGATGAAAGTCCCCACTGTACCTTGAATATCTTTTTCACAGCACTTTCGTAGAAATCCTTGGACCACCGCTGGTGAGCTTGCAGCGTTCTGGGCTTGTTTGGTGCAACACCAGACAACTGGGAAAGAAGACACGTCCATGGATCGTTCTCGGGTTTTGTTTTGGTGCCGAGCTTGCATAGTCTTTTAGAACGGTTATCAAGCCAGTTGCGTATAGTCTGTAGCATTGATTAAAAATGTAAAGATTTAAATGAAAACATACCTTGCGCATGGATGCAATCTTGTGCTGCTTTTGAAGAGACTCCAATGGGGTGAGCATTTTGGAAAAATGAGACACAGGAGACTCGTTGACCAGCGGTTCCTCAGAGACCTTGAGTTTCCAATGAAACCACGTGAAATAGGTATTCACAATGATATCCAGGTAATCATTTGTGCGGGATCGACCTTCTGCGAGGCTGCTCACATACTTCGCGATATGCGATGTGAGAAATTCAAGTCGTGATCCCGTCGCCCAGCATTTTTTGAGTGTTTCTACGTAGGCATTAGCATCACCAGCCGGCTGCTCAAGTTCAGCAGGTATATCTATTATTTGAGGGGGGGATTCATCTGAAGGTCTGTTCGATGGCATATTCGAATCACTGCAAATGGATGGAAAATAAATACACAGATACAACGTTATCACTCACCTCATGTGTCCGTGTGGCCAATATTGAGGGAAATGCAAGTGGTACCAGTAGTGAGGCCCGGAGGGATCCAGGGCAAAAAAAATATGCTGACAAATGTGTATGCCAGTCCATTTCGTGTATGGCGCGCAATTATTTTCCGACCTAGGTAAATAGGATAGTAAATGTAAGGAATTATTCTGCATTATTCAGGTATTTCTTACATGTGGATTGATGGTATGCTCATTTGTGGTGGCAAGCATAAGAAATTCAAAGTCCGAATGCTGGGCGAGGTTGTGTAAGCGTTGCCCAAAATGGAAGTGGTAGCGAGCCTCAGTTTTGGCAAGTCCGTACGTGGTTATTACCACATAATGATGGCCATATCTGACAACTACGGCTCAATCTTGAGAGTCATACGACTCCATAATCATGACAGGCATTTGGGGTAATCCTCCAGTAATTTAAATTCGAAGCTGCCTACTGTAGTTTCAATTGATAGTACTTCCAAGCTATCACTGGAAGGGCTATCTTGCGGCAAGTAGGGCAGGTTTCATAAACTTGCCATGCTGTTAGATGCATGATTGTGGAGAATTCAGATTTTTGGGGCACTCAGGTCACGGTGACGAGTCAGAGAAAGGTGATCATGGCGCAGTGGCGATTGAGTCATAGCCATGGTCGGACTCTTCCGAAGTCTGCGGCGAACTTGAAGCCATCAATCTCAATTGAATCGAAAAATCTGGGGCCTCAAGTTGATCACCCAGCTGTGATACTGCACAATCTTATCTTAGGCTCTGAACAGAAAGAAAAGAACATTCAAGTAAAGCTGCTGGCATGTTTACTTGACAAGGTACAAAAGTACAACAACGTTGCATACTGTATTGAAAGAGGCACAAAAGTTGGTGTATGGTGACATTGCACCTTTGATAACCTTCCTTAGTTCCCCCTTTGATTCGTCAAATGCCTTGGCCAGCTGCTCGCATCAGTAAGGGGAAAGTGAAGGAAAGAGAGGGCGTACATTCCTACGGAACTCCAGCCATCCAGCAGAAACAGTTACTCCGTTGGTAAATGTGATGATCACTGATGAAACCGTAAAATAGTGTCAGGTAGCATCTAGGATGCAAGGCACTGACCTGGTTGCTCCAGCATATCCTCGTAAGTCGTGTAGGTTAGGTTAAGTGCGGTGAGAAAGCTATTGGTCACCCGGTGTCGTACTTCCACCTGACGAATCGTAAATGGGTTTTGGTGCTCTCCTACCCACAGACCTCCAACAAACAGGGCCCTAGTGAGCATCATGACCCGCCACCAAAATGTCTTCTTCATTGAGCGGGTGAGGCTCTCTCGTTGCTTTCTGTTCAAGGTGTCCCACACACCACCCTTAGACTTTCTCCATTGCAAGTCAGGATGAAAAACCTCGAGGGCTGGCTCCTTGGTGAGAACCCCATCTACTTCGTCTAATCCATTCACTTTATCCAAAAAGGGCAGAGCTGTATCGTCGATACCGCTGAGAGAGGTAACGGTGGACAATTTCCAGTAGTTATAGCCACAATCGAGCTCTTGAAACTCCGTGGGTGTGAGGTCAAAAGAAGCAGGAGCCAGGAGGACATCTTCGAGCGTGTTATCGAAAGCACTTGAATTGGCGGGAGATGGCGCCTCGTACATGAGTTGTTGTACTGGGGTGACAATGGGAGGTGGATACCCATCCGGAAACGGAGCATAAGAGAATTGAACTGAAGCGTTCAACAGCTCTTGGAGCTATAAATGTATCAGTGAAGGACGTGCACGAGGACTTGAGCACAACACTCACGAGCCAAGTAGGCATTGGGATACCTCTGGCGTTAGCCCTACAGCATGTAGGGGTTATCGCACTGATATAAGCGCCAGCCAGTTAGCTAGATCTATTGTTTCAAAGACAGGAATATTTGATACGGCAAACAGCTCACCGTCGCTGTGAATAACTCATGAAGGTGGGTAGTATCCCTCTCGCCAGGGGCAATCAGCCACCCAAGTTGCGTAAGCCGACCAGTCCAAGGCTGGGCCTCCTGGAAGGATCTTTCGCACTACAAATAAATACAGTGAGATTAAATCTTTGCATTCAAGAAGGAAAACTCACGTAGATAGGTGATACTTGGTTGTTATTAGCGAGGTACCCTACGACAACATACGATCCTGTAGTAATGGAGACAAACGGATGCTGAGGGAAAAAAAAGGTAAAACAAAACCATGGTTGACGGACGGTGACAAACCTCCTCATGCTAGAGGAGAAGGTCGTCACATCAGCGGATCCACTGTACAAAGTCTTGTACTTACAGCAAGCTGAACAAGCTGAAGAATTTCACCCACAGCGGGTACGTATAACCATACTGGAGACATTGATTGGCCTGCGAGTACCAGGATGGGGTAGGTAGGGAGGGAATTGATGGCAACAAACAATATTAATAAAGGCTGGTTATAAAGTAGCAAAGCCTGCCAGACATTAGCAAACGTCAAACGTCAGAGATGATACAACCACTTGCTACTGATCTGGCGGACATTACTTCTCATTATCGCTAGTTGGTGGCCATTTGTGCTGGCTGCTGATCCCTGACTGATGGCCATCAATAATTGCTGGCGATCTTGATTCAATCGATGGCCATCAATAATTTCCGGCCATATTATGTATTAGACATTCTAAACCATGGAGTTGTGCCCAAAGAATTACTAGGATTCTATTGCTGTAATACAATATCAATTTTCATAATCAAAAGCATGGCTCATGAACATATCGTCTAGTGCCTCCGCGAGGGACTCCGTGCTTGTGTTTCTTCCTTGTTCAAAGAAATTCAATTCCTTGATGCCAATGTCATGACCCTCTTCGTCGTCGCTTGGATGGGCTATTTCCGTGAAGTTTTCTTCGCCTTCAAAATCTTCATCTTCCATATAGGGAGTTGTCTGAGAGGCAGGTTGCCGTGCCAAGCTATGGCCGTCTAAGATCCCTACCCTATGTGAGTATACATGGCCTACCCTGAGGCCATAATGGAACCTCATGAGTGTGTCACGATCAGCGAAGCTGGTAGAGTTATGATGATGATATAGATATGACCCGTATGGATAGGATTGCTCACCTGTTAACGTAGTATTCTAGCCAGTCATGTTTATCTCCAGAAAGGGGAGAAACCCCACAGTTCAAATTGCGCCGGCCTCACGAAAAAACCGGAATTATATGGCAGGCCCTCAGAACCGCTCCTGGATCCACAAAGCCAAAAGTGTTTGGATTTGTCAAAGGTAGGAAGCTGAACTCGTCCCAAAGCATGTGTTTCCCATGAATGGTTTTGTATAAGTTCATACCACCGGATGAATAGAAAGTTTATTCGGCAGGACTCATACACGTTACTTGAGTGCACAGCATTGATATGGTGGATACCGAGAACCCTCGCATAACGATATTTGTCATGGGCCCCATCATCATGCTGTAGCAGCATGATGTTACAATGGGGGGTCCTGGGGTTTATCACGTCTTGAGCCCTTTGAATGTCGTACATTGTATAATTAAACCTGACGAGGTTGTGGTGGTAGATCCTGTTGTGCTTGAAGAGAATTGAACTGTGTTCCTGGTCGGGATGGGCAGAGTTTTCCACAGATTCAAGAGTCCCCATGCGGTCCAGGATATGATCTTTCAATCGTGGAAGGAAGTCCTGAGTCATATGTTAGAACGACAATGATTAAGCCCCCGAAAGTTACCTTCATGGCAGGATCCCCTGCATGACTGCGGAGATAATTTCCCAACTCGTCGAAATTCTTCTCACTTAGTCCAATATGATGGTGTAGCTGAGGGTCGATCACAGTTTCGTCAGCCTGCGTGTGAGGGGTCCGTGTTGTTTGCCATTGTTTGATATGCCGTAAGCGAATTTGACGGCATTCTATTTGAGTTAGCTGGTGTATGAAGTTTCTGTGATCAGTTTGGCGATATCTGCCTTTTGGCGTTCGGTGCTCTAGCTCTCCCTAATAGCAACTGAGCAGGGGAGCAGACAGGGAGCAAATCATAACTTACTGGCTCTGTACTATACGAGTCTGTTGTACCAAATTGACGAATGGAAGCAACATAATCGCCTAGCGCATGAAATTTGTACGTCCGAAAATTTAGCAACTTCTTCCTCCTCGATTGCCTTGGTGAACGTGGATCCTGCGACCATTCCAAATTTGGCTTATGTTTCCCTTTAGCATTACCCCCCGCCCTCTTTTGAGCCGCAGTCCCTTGCCCAACGCCATTCGCTATGCTGTCCTCCATGCGTCTAGTGACGTCCTTTGCCTGCTGACGAGACCTCGCATTGACCTCGTGGTCAAGTTCTTGTGTGTGGTATGCAGTGCATACCTTTGACTTGAAGTGACGGAATTTCTCACCGAGGTCAGTGGTTTGCTGGTCGAGAATCTCTAAGGTAAAGTCAGAATGCATACACAGTTTAGCGAGACCATGCCAATGCGCCATAGTGAAAAGGAGATCAAGAAGAATTTTGTTGTGGGCCTCAGGGAGGAGACCTTCGAAGACTGGAATAGAACACTTGTACAAAGTCAGTCCACGGACACATGAGAATTGTCTTTAAGGCGTACCTGTAAAAGATCCTCAAAGTTGCATGCTGCTGCCATGTTCGACATTTCAGAGGTGTTGGCAGAGAACCGCCTAATGGTTGCAGGACCAAACGGGGGAACCTGCCTGTACCTGTCAAAGATGGACATGAGTAACCCAGGCGTCATCAAAACACATTCGGCACCTCCTATCAAGTTCGTGCACCAAGTCCTTGTTCAATGCAGTCAGAATTCTCAGTAGATGAATTAGAAGCATGCGCCATATCCCAAGCTCAAACTCATGTAGGAGATCGACGACAAGTGCTGCAAACACATTGAATCCGAATGCACTAAGATTGTCGGACAGCACATTCTTATCACATATTAGTTCAGGCAATGAAAGAGACTGACGACTATGCTCACTGAATTCGGCACCCAGGAATCAGGTTTGAGAAGCGCCTCGACTGCCGTACTGTCAACACCGTAATTTTTCTCATAAATAAGGTTGCGTGCAGTAGCAATGGGCTGACTCCTCGAGATGTTGGACCGCACCAGTGTTAAACGTTGTTGCCGATCACGGCTCATCCCCAGATTTTGAAGCCATGCAGTTGGTATGAGACAACGCGGGCAAGGACAGCCTCCTAGCTGCCGAATGGTTGCAACAAGGACCCTGGTTTGGTCTGCTTAGATGTCTTATGGATAATGATCATGACTCACTTTTCAGGGTAATCCACAGAGTAGGTAAAGACTCACGGGTAAAACCTGCGTTTGATTCCAGTCACAGCAGAGAATTACCATCCCATGCTCATACACCTCCAAAAACTCTTCATTGAGTAAGATATTCCATTGAGCTTGAAACAGTTCATGCTGGCAATGCATTGTACATTCACGGCCAATCCCCTTGCCATTGGTATAAGTCCCCACAAAATCTTTAAATGTGTCCGGAAGCTGCCAAGGTGTGAGCTTCCATCGAGAAGGAAATTAATTCAGGAGGACATCGTACCTTTTGAAAATATGCAATAGTGGTTCCCCAAATGGCAGGATGGCCGACAGCGGCAGTATTTGGATTCATTTCCAAAATACATATACACTGGCCACAGCTTCGCTGTTACCAAATGCTGTCAGTTGCGTGGCATCTGACCAAAACATCAATGCGACGACTACGTGGGGTAAATCACACCCCGGCTCTCCAGGAGACTCAAGGAGATCACTGGTGGGTGTCCATAAAGGCTGGTGAGGTGTAAAGTTCGCCTTGAATGTCGACTTTGTGGGGAAGATGGGGAGCACTCCATCGCAGTTGGTAGGGTTCATAATGGAAAAGCTCATCATCCTGAGCATTTGCAAGCTTTTCTCGGATGATGGAGGTGAGAGATCGATGGTAAAGTTCAGCTGCGATGTAAGGTCGAGGGCCTGGCTGAGCTGGAGTTCGGGAAAAAGGTACTTCGATGCTGACTTGCGTTTTGTGCTAACCGGCATCCTCATCCTCCCATTCCTCCTCCTCGCCATCGTAAACACTTGCACCTAGCTGTGAGTCAATTCTGCTCCATGGCGTACTCTGGACGTCATCAGGATCAAAATCCGGATCGCCGACGATATCAATATGTTCCTTGAAACTCTGCCGGGACTTCTGTGTGCCTCCATGCCAGTACCAATGGCCCAGCTCAAAGGAGGATCAATTGGGGTAAGGGGAAAACGAAATGTCGTTAGGCTCTGCGAGGGCATCTGGCTCAGTTGAGGCTATAGTCGGGACGGAACTAATATCTTGGAGTGTTACAGCTTCTTCTGGATCGTGAGAAGGGGGGGGTGGATGAAAAGAACTGGCGTATCAGCCCGAATACATTTCTAGCAGTATGGAAAGGGGGAACTTGCGAAGATGCACAAGCACTGGTAGATGCACAAGCACTGGTAGATGCGTCCGTTGGATTGGCTGGTGCGTCAGGCTCTGGTGCTAGAGCAGTATATCCGGAGGGAAGGCTTGGGGGAGCTTGTGGAAGCACATCCTCGTATTGCCTATAACGGAGTGGCAATGAGACGTCGATGTGTCGACTCCTCCGCTGCGCCAGTGACAAGCCTTGTTCCGTGTCTATCTCAATAGGTGAGGCACCAAGATTGGTGTTTGATGATAATGTGGTGCATTTTCTTGCAGCAGGTCAGCAGATGGGAAAGAGCCCTTTGGAAGGTGGGCCTGCACGCTCGACGGCACCGTGCCAGGGCCAGGAATCTGTCTACCGAGGTTGTGGTTAACTCGTGACCATTCGCAGAGCCTAGAAGATGCTTCGCTTTGGATAAAGCGGAGAACAATCGTTTCTTGCCCTTAGTGCAAGAGCCTTGATGGCTTTGTATAGGCACTCTCCTGCGTGAACTCACGAGTACAGGTGCATCTGAAAGGGGTTGGAGTCGGCAATGAACCTGCACAATCCATGGGGGAAACTGAAGGTGTAAGAATGCGGTTGAGTCCAATGTTGAAGGGACAGGTGGAAAGACTGATGACTTTGATAGCATAACATAATATAGAGGGCACTAGTGATGGCCAGCCCCGATGGCGATCACATCATAGTCTAGATTCCCACAGGCCAAAACCTCTGGCAGCAGGCTAAAGGTGGGGACATTTCATGGTGACAAGATAAGCTGGGCAGATCATAATATTACTACATGTCGCAGTCTGATAAGAGCAGAGTAGATACCGCGTATTTGCTCCACCGGACCATACAATGGAAGCCCCATCTTCACCTTCATCTACCATCACTGCCCACCACCTGACTATCACGAAACCACTTGGAGGTTAGCTAAATTGATTGCAGAGGCTATGACCTGCCGCTTTGCCCTCCTACACTATGACAGCGCCTCAAAATCCATGGTCGAATGGTGGTGGTGAGACATACCCATATTCTATGCAAATTTGAGTTATGATGCTGCTCCACAACAAAAACACAGGCCTATTGACGGTGATGGAAAGAAGATTTTGCCATTCAACCTAGAGATCCACCGCGAAGAATATAAATGAAATACCCATGCTGTCTATGCGCTGATGGTAGTGGCAGGAGTGTGTACATAGAGTGTGCGGTGTACTCGTGGTGGAATGAGGACACTGAGCAGTTTGATTGGACTGCAAGGTGCGCATCTGATGAATGTGGTTATCGAGGTTAGCATTCTTCACATTCAAGAGGATCACAACTGAAGAGTCAACATTGCCTAGTAAAAATCAACACGTACTTCAGGCTGCCGACTATATCCACCTTCCAGTATCCTCGAAGAGGTATGAGCGCTCGTCCTTTCCTTGCTGCAGTACTGGGTCTGAAATTATGGATGATGAAGAACAGCGAGTCTTGCCTATTCAGCTAGAGTGGACCTACAAGGAACAAAGTGAATTACTGAACAGACTCGATTCCTGTGTTGGAAATGGTATTACCAGCAGGGAGTTCCAAATTTTGTTTAGCCAATGCAAAACATGCAAGCGAGTCGGGGTGAGGTCAGTGATGAAGCGCCACATCTGTTTGGGAGGAGTGAAAAAGCGAGAAGGTCGACTTGCATGATCATTATTGCTCAGTATTCGTATTAGCTTAGTTTACATTCTATACTAGGATCTACATAATGCCATCTACTTATTGATATCACCGCGTGAAACCATAGATTGCAAATTGAGAGCACCAGCAACCCATATGCATTGTTTCACATGTTGATGCATTATGCCATCATGGTGCACAGCGCTCAGCGGCCTCAGGCTGTAAATTCAACGTTCAGCGTTCAATGCCTGACATGTCACTGCAGCTGAATATATGCGATGCACGTGATCCACATCATTACTAATACTATTTCAAAGGCTTCATTCAGAACTTCGGATGCAGCAGGCCATTTCTGATGGCCATCGTTCTTTTGGTGGCCATCCCCTTTAATATCCGCACGAATCAGTTGGCATCAGTTGAGTACCTTTTCTAAACTCTGTGATTGCTCGTTTGCTTTCAGAATCAACTCCCGCTTACACATAATAGTACTCTCACAATCAAGCTCGCTTGCCATGCACCTTACTGTACATACAATATTTGCACCCCAACAAGATGTGTCTTTCAGCAGAATCATTCAATTACTCAACTGCGTGCGAGCATTTTTCAACTTTCGAATGTCCTAGGCCGTGAATTCTTGGATGCCTACATAGGACTCATAGCAAATCAGAAGGTCAGTGGGAATTTTTTGTAATCCTGATTCTGTTAAATCTTTTCATGTAGCTCCAGACTGAATTATATGTTCTGTCATTCTTGCTCAAAAATCGAGTTTATTCTGGCGATCTGTGGGAAC